CGCGCGGCGGCGGGCGACTTCGGCGAGGGGGGCTCGCGGGCCCTCGCGGACGAGGCAACGACGCTCGCGACGTCCGCCGCGGCCCTCGAGCTCGTCGGCAGCGACGCGAAGCTCGCGGCGCGCCTCCAAGGCTCGATCGCCGCCGCCCACGACGGCGCGGCCGCGGCCGCTGCGGCCCACAAAGTCGCCGCGAACAAGGACAAGGCCGTCGTCGCCAAGGCCGCGCAGCTCGCGTCCGTCGCAGACGCGAAGCGGGCGCAGTGCGAGGCGTCTCCCAAGGACGCGGTCGTCGCCGCCGAAGAAGCGCGCCACGCGGCCGACGCGGCCGGCGACCTCAAGCTCAAGTCCGGCGACGCGGCCCTCGCGAACGACCTCGCGGCTCACGTCGCCGCGGCGCGCGCGAGCGCCGACGCCGCCGAAGCGCTGGCCCAGGCCGCGCTCGACGCGGGCACGAAGATCGCCGCGGCCGCGGAGGCTTTCGCCGAAGTCGCGGCGGAGAAGCGCCGCGCGTGCGAGGTCGCGACGCCCGGCGACGCCGCGGCGCTGGCCGCGGCGGCGCGCGCGGCGGCGACGGCGTGCGGCGCGCTGCCGCCCAAGGTCGCGTGCGGCGGCGAGCCCGAGTTCCGCGTCTGGTCGGCGCTCAAGCGCGCCAACGACGAGGCGACGGCCGCGGAGCAGGCGGCCCACGGCCAGGCGGCGCAGCAGCTCGTCAACGCGTGCGAGGCGAAGGCCGGCGAGGCGAAAGCGTTCCGCATGGACGCGGACGCGGCGCGGTCGTCGGCGCCGCGCGCGCGCGCGGCCGCGGACAAGGCGCGCGGCGCCGCGGACGCCTGCGCGGCCCTCGCCGCCCAGGTGCCCGACGTGCCCGCGGAGGCGCTGGCGCAGGCGAAGGCCTTCGTGAGCGCCGCGGACGCCAGCGCGCGGGCCGCCGAAGCGGTCGCGGACGCCGCGGAAGCCAAGGCCCGGGCCGGCGGCACCAAGGGCGCCATGCTCACGCCGAGCCGCCAGAAGTCCATGAAGCAGTGGAACGCGGACAAGGGCGTCGCGACGCCCGAGGGCGGCTTCGACGCGTTCGACCGCGCGTCCGCGTACTACCGGACCAAGGACAGCGCGGACGGCATGGCGCTCCGCGAGCAGTGCGAGGCCTTCGCGCGGAACTGCGCCGTCGAGTGCGCCGACGCCAAGGCCCACGTCCACAAGTTCAACGAGAACACGCCCCAGGGCACGAAGAAGGCGTCGTCGGGCACGACGAAGATGCACGCGCTCAACATGGCCGCGGCGTGCGTCAAGCGCGCCGCCGACATGGCGGCCCAGGCGAGCGAGCTCGCCGAGGTCGCCATCCAGCGCGCCATCGACATGAAGAAGAAGGGCGCGCCCCAGGCCGCCGTCGACAAGGCCGACGCGACGGGCATCGTCGTCCGCGACGCCGCCGCCGCCGCGGCCTTCGACGCGCAGAACGCGGCCCGCGCGTTCAAGACCACGTCCAAGATCGGCCGCGCCTAGGGACGCGGCCCACGCGCGCCCACGCCTAACCTGGGGTGCTCCGGACGCGTCGATATTTCGGCGATTTTTTTTAAAATTAGGCTAAAAAATTGCTTCCGTGAATCGACGATGCGCGAGCAGTACTGGGAGGTGCAACGGAGGGCCCTCGAGGAAGGGGTGCGAAGTAAGCATGTCCAGGCCAAACAGCTAAAGCTCCGCCTCGAGTGCACCATTTGTTCTGCCAAGGCGAAACTCCACTGCCCGTGCTCGACGACGCAGTACTGCTCGGTTGCGTGTCAAAAGGTCGATTGGCGCGAGCGGGACCACCGGGAGGCGTGCAAGAAGATCCGGGGCGAGCGCGCGGCGGAGGCGGCGCGGGCGGAGGCCCCGACGCCCCCGCCGAAGGAGGTCTTCTACGGCCCCGCGCCGCGGTCGGGCGCCGACGAGGTCCGCGCCCGCATTGCCGCGGAACACGAGGCGGCCCGCGTGCGGCGCGAGGCGGACCCGGAGCCTGAGCCGGTGTCGGCGCGGTTCGAGTCGCGGTGCCCGATCTGCCTCGAGGAGTGGGACGTGAATACTCCGGGCGTGTTTCGCAGCTGCTGCTGCCGAAAGGTCTGCCGATCGTGCGAGGACAAGATCGGAATCGCGTGTCCCCTCTGTCGCATGCCGGGCCCAGGAAGCCACGCGGAAAGCCTCGCGCGTCTGCGCCGCCATGTGGAGAATGAGGTGCCGGAAGCGATTTCGCTTTTGGGAAGTGCGTACCGCCATGGTCTGTTGGGCGTCGTGAAATCCGATAAGAAAGCCGCGAAGATTTGGAAGCGCGCCGTGGAGCTCAAGAACGTGGACGCGATGTTCCAACTTGCTGGATTGTACTGGATTGGAAGTGGCGTCAAGCTGGACAAGAATAAGGCGATGAAGCTGTATCGCGCGGCCGCGGATCGGGGCGACGCGCTCGCGCAATTCAATTTAGGGATTTTACTTCGTTCTGAGAAGAAATTTGAAGAAGCGTTCCGGTACTTCGCGCTCGCGGCGAATCAAGGCTATACCGAGGGAGAGGCCAGCCTTGGCTATTGTTACACGGCGGACGGAGAAGGCACGGAAGTCGACCTCGGCAAAGCCAGATACTGGTACGCGCGCGCCGCTGCCAAGGGCCACCAGATAGCTATAGACGACCTCGCGGGCCTCGACGCGTGAGTATAGCCTAACAACCTTTACGCCGCGTCGATCGCCCGAGCCCGAGATGCTGCGCTTGCGCGCGGGCGAGTCGCGCTTGGCCTTGGCGTCGTCGTTCGCGCGGCAAAGAAGAACTTCGAGGACGCCAGAGAGGCGCCGCATGGTCTCGGCGAATACCCCCCTCCGACCCTTAAACTCATCTAGCGCCGCACCGCGGCGAGGCGCGCGCGCACGAGCGCGGCGCAGCCGGGGCTCCGCGCGTGCGCGTTCGCGTTCGCGAAGCAGGCGAAGTCGGTCTCGTAGAGCGCGCAGGCGGCGTCGACGATGGCCCGGGCGACGGGCGTCGCCGGGTCGAGCGCGGCCTCGAGGAGCGCGGCCGGCGCGAGCGTCCACGGCTCCACGCGCTTCCGGTCGCCGTGCGCGTAGATGTACTCGTGGACCGCGTGGAGCGTGCAGGTTCCCGCGTCGCCGGGCCCGGGCGGCTTGCCCGTGCCGTCGGACCACTTGCGGTTGAAGAACTCGCGCGCGCACTTGGCGCCGCCGGCGCGCGTGCCGTCCTTGGGCGACCCGTCGACGGGCACGCGCTTCGACGCGCACCACGCGGCCATGTCGCCGTGGCACGCGTCGACGTCCGTGGCGCCGCCGCCCCCGCCGGCGGACCGCGGCACGAGGAGGTCGTCGAAGTAGCCCGCGCGGGCGACGTCCCCGAGGAAGTTCGCGACGCGTTTGAGTTTGTGGTCGAGGGGCAGGTCCCAGAGGTTCGTGACGTCGTTGGCGACCTGGTCCGCGATCTGGTGCCAGTCGAAGCAGTGGCGCTCCGTGTACGCGAGGCCGAGGGCCTCGAAGTGCTGGTCCCGCCAGCCCAACAGCCACTGCGACCTGGGCAGGAAACGAGTGCGACATTCCCAACTTCAAAGGCTCCTCTCTCGGTCATGTTCCACTCGTTTCGGCTAATTTTTGGACGAGCGGTCATGTTCCGGAGCGCTCTCGAAGCGTGGATCCTTGCTCTGGAACAATCGCGCGCGGAACACTCATGTTGAAGCGACGTTGAATCACTCGTTTCCTGCCCTGACCGCGACTCGAGCTCGGCGTACGCCGCGAGGAGCCGGCCGAGCGGGTCCGCCGCGGGCCCCGGGCCGCAGGCCGGCGCGTCGCCCGTCGGCGCCATTTCGCGGGCGGCGACGACGGCGGCGAGGGGTTCCTCCGGGAGCGGCGCCGGGTACGGCCGCGGCTCGTCGCGCGCCGCGCCGTCGCGCCGCGCGCGCGCCGCGGCCGCGAGGGCCGCGGCGCAGGCCGGGGGCGGCTCGAAGGGGAAGCAGGCGTAGTCCGCGGCGACGAGGGCGCAGATGCGCTGCGTGACCTCGAGGGCGAGGTCGTGGTTCGCGTCGGACCGGTTGTGCGCCGTCGACACGAGGACCTTGGACCAGCTCGAACCGCCGGTGACCATGGAGTGGCTCACGCTGCGGCGCCGCCCGCCGGTCTCGCCCCAGACGGCCCGCGGCAGCTCGCTCTCGAGCTTGTCCGTGTACATGAGCCCGACGGCCGCCGGGTCGACTTTCGCCGCCGCGAGGCTCGCGAAGTAGTGCGTCATGGGCCAGAGGTGGTCGTCGAAGAAGCCGCAGCGCTCGACGTCGGACACGAAGCGCGACAGGCGCCGCAGCTTCAGCCGCATCTCGTGGGTTCCGCTCTTCGGCCGCCACTTGCGCGCGGCGCCGCCCCGGAGGCCGTAGTTGATCTCGCAGTCGTCGACCATCCACGACAGCGCGCACGCGCCCTTGAACCAGTCCTTGCCGATCCAGCCGAGCTCGTAGAACACCTGCACCTGCCGATAGCCCGACACCTGCGCGCGCGCGACGTCGAGGCCGCGCGCCGTCGGCGGGCGGCGCCGCGACGCGCGAAGCGCTGGATGGGATCGCGCACGCTCGCGAAGATCCGCGTCGACGACCGCTCGGCCCACGCCCTGACGCCCTTGACCTGGCCGGCGCGCCGCCCGCCGGGATTCCCGAAGCGCGTCATCGTCGTGCTGCCCGTCTTGCGCATGAGCGGGCCCAGCGTCACGTTCCCCATGGCCAGCCCATCGAGCGGCGCGGGAGGCAGGATCGACAGCAACTTCGTCTCCCGGGCCGTCTTCACGACGTCGCACGACAGGCGCAGCGAGTCCGTCGCGCTCGCGAGCGCCCAGAGGCACGCGACGCGTTGCAGGATGCGACGCTGCGCATCCATCATCGCGCAGGCAAGCAGCCCAAACTCAATTGTTGAGGCCGAAGGTTCACTCGAGTTCGATGATGGAGCCCAAGCGCCTCTCCGCGCCGACGCAACAGCGGCAACAAAACCCGCGAGCGGGCGCAGCGCCGCCGCCGTGGGCGTGGCGACCTTCGTCTTGGTCGCCGCGGCTCGGAGCGGCGCCACGCTCGGCGCGACGGCCAGCGCCCTCGCCCGGCGGGGAGCGAGCGACGACGATGCCGTGGGCGCCGCCCGACGGGGCGCCGGCCGCCGGGGGGACCGCGCCGCGACGCGGGGGCTCGACGACGACATCACGAACCCCTTCAACCTGAGCGGCACGCCCGCGAGCAACGCGAGCGCGTCGGGCCTGCCGTCGAACTTCTCGATGACCATGGACGACGACCTCACGTCCCTCGAGCGCTGCGCCTCCTACGACGACGACGCGACGTACACGCGCGGGTCCTGCGCGTCCTGCGACCACGCGGCCTGCTTCCTCTACTGCACGGGCTACTGCGACTCGATGTGCGGCGACGCGTGCGGCGGGAACGTGAGCAGCGGGGCCATGTGCGCCCTCGACACGCTCAACAACCTCGAGTCCGTCTGCGAGGACGGCGGCTTCTGCGACGCCACGTCCTCGGCGGCGACGCCGACGACGGCGTCCGTCGCGGCGAGCTCGTGCACGGGCTGCGACAGCCACGCGCTCTGCAGCCAGTGCGTCTCCGGCGACGAGGGCGCGCTCTGCATGCACCTCATGGACATCGACGTCCTCACGAGCGCCTACAAGGCCATGATCCTGATCTCGGACATGAACGCGACGTGCGCCGCGTACGCGTGCAAGAACCAGACGTCGCGGTCGTCCGCGCGCGCGTCCGCGCTCCTCGCCCCGGGCGCGCTGCCAGCGAGGTAACACTTAGGAGCTCCCCGGTGGTGCGCGCCACGCCTCGAAGCGGCGCCGCTCCGCCGCGAAGAACCCGCGGTAGAGCCGGAGGTCGAGGTGCTCCAGAAAGCGGAGCCGCGAGGCGACGGGCTCCGGCAGCCTGCGCGGCTTTCTGTCGCTGTGGTGCGCGTTGCGCTTCGGGAACGCGAACGGCACCCCGAACTGGCCGGCGAGGTACTTCGTATAGTCCGGATCCGAGAGCCAGTCGAGCGCGATGCGCAGGTTAAACAACTCGAGGACCCGGACCGCGAGCTCGTAATCGTCCTCGTCCACGTTCGCGGGCAGACTACATCCGCCGCCCCACGCCGATCCCGACCAGCTGCACGCGGTCCCGCCCCAAAACGCTTCGTACGCCGACGCGTCGTCATTGTGTCGTTTTTTCCACGCCGCGGCCGACGGTATTCTCGCGGGCACGGGATCGCCCGGCGGGCAGCGGCCGCTGAATGCGCGCGTGTAGGCGTTTGTCGTGTGGGCGTCGCGCGAGAATACCTTGCCTCGATTCGGTTCCGCGAGCCATTGGAGCATGAGCGCGGTCTCGTTGACCGCGAGCGTTCTGATCCGGTACGTGCGTCGCATGTGCGAGAACCCGGAGTAGACCCACTCCGAGTGCACGCGCTTGAGCGGATCGCGGAGCACCGTCGCGAAGAACGTCGTGGGCGACGCGCCCAGGCACGACGCCGGAAAGGCCGCCCACTCGAGGTGCGTGAACCCGGGCGCGTTGCCGAGCTTCAAGGCAATTTTTTGCAACGCCTGGCGCGCCGACGTGCCGCCGGCTTTGCGTACGTGCCTGAAGAACAGAGTGCCGTTGCCGGATTTGAACCGCGCCCACGACTCGGCCACAGCGTCGCTGCTGCGCAGCGGTATCGCTTTTGCATCTCGGACTGCGCGCTGCAGCGAATTCCGCTCTCGGTTGAGTGATTTCCATCCGTCGAGCGGCCAGAGCGCCACGCAGGGCAGCGCGAACGCTGCGGAGAGCGCAGTGATGCGCATCGATGGGCTGCTCTGAGCTTGAAGTGCACGCAAATGCTGGTTGAACCACTCCCCGCGAGCCTCGCGAGCTTGAGCCTCAGCAACCCGTGCTCGCGCGCGTCGTGCTCGCACCTGCGCGTGCTCTACGATACGATGTCGCTCGCGATGCGCTGCGTCGCACTGCTCGCCGTCGCTGCGGCCTATACGCCGCCGCGCCGGTCGCCGCGGTCGCCGGGCGGCCGCCAGGGGCCGGCGGGGGCGCCCAGGCCCAAGCGCACGCCCGTCGTCGAGCCGCTCGAGCAGTGGGGCAATTTCGATGTCGGCCCGCATCGCATGGGCGTGTCGACGGTGAGCTGGGGCGACGCGACGTGCGGCTGGAGGCCCGACATGATTCGCAAAAAGAAATCGAGCCTCGAGCTCTTCGGCACGGCGGACGTCAACGCCGTGTACCAGACGCTGACCGCCGGCGGCATCAAGACGTGGGACGTGAGCGCCGGCGCGGAGGGCGCCGAGCTCCTGGGCCGCGCCGCCGAGGCGAACATGAACCTCGACCCGCCGCGGCTCGCCGTGCGGTGCGCGCCGTCGCTGCGGACGCGCCTCAAGGCCGTCTTCTCGAGCACGCAGGTCGCGCGCCACGGCGCGAGCTCCGTGGCGCGCGGCGTGCGCAACACGCTCGACATCATGGGGTCGGCCTACGTGGACCTGCTCCTCGTGGGCCCCGCGGAGCCGACGAGCAGCGTGTCCGCGGTGAAGAAGGCCGCGTCGGCCGTCGCCGCGCAGGCCGGCCGCGTCGACGGCGTCGGCATCGCCAACGTCCGCGGCGGCAAGGCGCTCCGCGCCGCGGACGCGGCGCTCCGGGGCGCGGGCCTCCGGCCCGTGGCCTGCGCCGTCGACCTGAGCCTCGTGGACAACGGCGCGATCCGCGACGGCACGCTCGCCGCGGCCAAGGACCTCGGCCTCACGGTGCTCGCGCGGTCGCCGCTCTACGCGGGCCTGTCGAGCGGCGAGATCACCGCGCAGAACCCGACGGGCGGCGCGCGCTTCGGCGTCACGCCCAAGTTCCGCTTCCGCGCGCTCAACGAGCTCGCGCCGCTCCACGGCGCCATCGAGCAGGTCGCGTCCATGGTCGAGGCGCGCCGCGCCGACGACGAGCGCAGCGCCGCCGCGTCGGCCGGCCGCGAGCCGCCGAAGACGCGGCCGGAGAAGGTCCTCCCGACCCAGGTCGCGCTCCAGTGGATCGCGGCCAAGGGCTGCGTCCCCATGCCCGCGGTGAAGACCGAGGCCCACGCCAAGGTCATCCTCGGCTGCCAGGGCTGGGCCCTCACGGAGGCCGAGGTCAAGGTCCTCGACGCCGCCCTGCCCCGCAGCCCGCCCAAGTTCCCGCGGCTGCGGTAGGGGCCCGCGAAGAAGCGAGTCCCCGCATTACGCGCGCTGGAGGCGTCTTCTGTGTGCAAGCTTGGGGGGGGGGGAGGTTTGTCGGGCCAGTGACTGGGGCTCCTCAGAAGAGGTAGGCGTCGTCGCCGTAGGACCGCGACGAGATGACGCTGTCCTGGGAGCAGACGGGGATACCGCTCGAGAGGTAGGACGGGTGGTCCTCCGGGCCGCGGCGGCGCTTCTTCTTGGGCGGGCTGATGCGGGCGCTGTCGAGCTGCGTCTCGTCGTCGTCCTTGAGCGAGTCCGAGAGCTTGAGGTCGAAGCAGCCCGACGCGGGCGGCGCGGACTCGGCGACGGAGTCCTCCTCGATGGCGAGGGGCTGGACGCCGCGGTACGTGAGCTCGCAGGCGCGCGGGCCCTGGACGGCGCCGAGGATGAGCTTGATGGAGTTCGGGACGGCCGCGGCGTCGAAGGCGTAGGCCGCGGGGTCGCACGGGGCGAAGCCCGCGGGCGCGAAGCCGCGGGGCGCGGTCGAGTTGAAGGCCATCTTGAGCGTGAAGGACGCGGCGGCGGACGTCGTCTCGGGCAGGACCGTCGCGAAGAACGTGAGCGCCTTGTCGAGGGCGACGTGCTGCGCGCGCGATTCCGCGACCGTGATCGACGAGCTCGACGGGTACGAGAACGAGAACGTGTAGAGCTCCACGGCGCGGTCCGCCTCGTCGTTGATGCTGAGCGTGAGGGAGCGCGCGTAGCGCTTCGCGATGCTCTCGCGGACGCCGCCGTCGAGGAGGCTGATGAGGTTGCGCGCGCGCGAGTAGTCGTCGACGGTCACGGCGGAATCGTCGACGTCGAGCGGCGCGCGCGCGTCGACCGACCGGGGCCCGGCGGGCGCGGCGCGCGGCGCGCGCGTGAGGAGCTTGAACTGCTTCGTGCGCGTGATGCGGAACTGCTGCTCGGGGAAGATTTCGCGCGCGAACGCGATGGTCAGGCACGAGGACGTGACGACCGCGTGGGCCGCGGCGACGGCCTCCTCGTCGTCGAGGCACGCGACGGTCGCGTCGGGGGGCGAGGGCGCGGGGCGCGCATCGGTGCGCGACATGATCCGAGGGTCGGGGCGGCGCGGGAGGTGGCGTGGAATCGAAGAAGGCCTAGTGGCTTCTGGTTGAGTGAGGCCTCACAAAATCCCAACGACTTTTGGGCCCGCCACGTCAGAGACCGTTAGAAATCGCGCCCCGGAGCGATGTCCCTCGGTCTCGCGCTCCTCGCGCTCATGCCGCGCGCCGCGGTCCTCCCGACGACGCGCGTCGCCTTCGTCGTGCCGTCGCTAGAGGCGTCGTTCGCGGTCGTCGGCTTCGCGGAAGCGGCTCCGGCCTACGACTACCGCGGCCCGCGCGCGTCCGTGCCGCCGCCGTTCGCCCTCCTCGCGCTTCCGGCGCTGGTCGTCGCCGCCGCCGCTCGGGCGCGCGCGAACAAGATCGCGCCGTCGGTCGTTTGCGCGCGCGCGGCGGCCGTCACGCCACGCTCGAGCCCGACGCGGGCGCCGCGGAGCTTCCTCCACGAATTGCGCGCCTTCGAGGCGCAGGTGGAGCGCGAGCTCCGGCTCGCGAACGCGGCCGCGTGATGCTCCGCCGCCCGCGCGCCTCCCCGGCCCGCGACCTCGTCCGCGCGCTTCCGCTAAGTTCCCCGGGCCCGACGACGAGTTTTACGACGCGCGCGACTCTAGAGCTCTATGCTTCGGAGCTCCTAGGGGGACGTCGAGGTGGGCGTCGTGGGCGTCGCGGGCGTCCTGGGCGTCGTAGGGGTAGGCGTCGTTCTCGGCGTCGGCGACGCGATCCGCGGGCCTCGTCGACGGCCTCGTTGAGCACGTGGCACATAAAGTCGAGATCAGCTAACTGGCACATAAAGTCGAGCTCGTCCGGCCAGTCCAACCCGAGCACCTTGCTGGCCCCGCGGCCGCGGCCGAAGGCATCGGAGTTCATCGCGGCGCGGTACGGGTCGAGCATGATTGGTTGCTCTAGCTGATTCTTAAAACTGATTTCCAACTGATCAACTTCCATATATCTGCCATGGCCTCCCGCGCCCCCCCGTCGAGCTTCAACGACTCCGAGTCGTCGAGCGACGAGTCCTCGCTCTCCTCCGGCGACGAGAGCTCCGACGACGAGGAGGACGTCGCGCCCACGCCCATCGAGGCCGCCAAGCCCGCGCCCGTCGCCGCGCCCGTCGACGAGCCCGCGACGGCCGCGAAGCCCGCGCCGACGGTCGCCGCGTCGCCGCCGCGCAAGCAGCGCAAGGTCGACCCGGAGAAGCTCACGCTCTACCTCCTCGCCGCCGGGTGGACGAAAGTCTCGCTAAACCACCAGCTCAAGTGGGTCGACGCCAACGGCCTCTCCTACTCGAGCTCGCGCGCGATCCTCACGGCGTACCCCGAGCTCTACGACCACTGCGCGTAGGCCGCGGCCACCACCCAAGCACGGCCCGCGCCGCCCACGCACGCCCCGCCCCGCCCAAGCCCGTCGCGCGAGGTCGATTCCGAGAAGTGTTCCAAACCGCGAAACACGCCCGCGCCGCGCGCGCCCCCAAACTACGTCTAAAGGCGACTAAGCGCGTCGCGCACTCGGGGGGAAGGCATGCTTAGGCCGATGCGCGCCGCCGCGCTCCGGGCGGGGGCCGCTTTGCGCGCGCGCGAGTCCGACTCGTTCGTCGTTGCCCGAGGATCGGGGACCTCGCGCGCGGCGGAGGGGTAGGGCTTCGGCGCCTAGTCGTCGAAAGCGAAGGTGCGCGAGTCCTTCTTCTTGAGCGCGGCGGGCTTCTTCATGGCCTCCCAGTTGACGCTGACGACGGACGCGGCGTCGTTTTCGAACTCGGCCTCCTCATCGATCACCGCGCACGAGCTCGGCGCGCGCGACGCCTGCGGCGAGCAGCGCCCGCCGTACGCGGACCACGCGGTCGCGTCGAAGGCGCGCATGCCCTTGACGAGGGCCTTGAGGCGCGGGTTGGAGGCGGTAGAGGCGTTCATGGTGTAGAGGTTGTGAGATTTGGGTTGTGAGTGAAACAGAGCCTCGGCCCCTCGCCCTCACCACGCCTACCGCCGCCCCCCAACCGCCCTCCGACGCCTCCGGAGCCCATGCCGCCCCGCAACGCGGCCTTCCTCGAGGTGCTCACGGCGAGTTGCCACGCCCGGGGCGCGAGGGGGCCGGCGGTGCCCTGCGCGCCGCTCCTGCTTCCGCCCCCGCCGGCCGCGACGCCGCGCGCGCTCGTCGCGGCCGTCGTCGCGACGTTGCTCGCGCGCAATCAAGCCGGCGTGGTCGTCGTCGCCGCCCTCGTGCTCTGGGCGAGCCGCGCCGCCCGGCGCGTGAGCCGCGGCCGACCCCGGAAGCCGGCGCGATTCACGGCCGTCGTGACGCCGCGCCGCGCCGCGGTCGACGGCTGAATCGCGAAACCCAAGCATGCGCACTCCGGCGCACGGGGGCCACCGCGCGATGCGACCGGTTTAAGGCCTCTACGGGCGACTCCTCGCGGCGTAGCCGCGTCGGCGGAATTTCGCGGAATCCGAGAGCGGGGCCGGCGGACCGCGCGCGCTAGGCGCCCCCTACGCGCGAAAACGCTCGCGAAGCTCGTTAAGCACTACACCTAGCCCCGTGCTCACGGGTCCTCGTGCTCTGGCGACGCGTTGCGCGCGCGCGGCTAGGGGCTCTTCGGCGCTTCCGGGGAGTCGCGAAGAAATCGATCGTCGAGCACCACGAGGGCCGTCACGACGGCGACCGCGGCCGGCGCATCTTCGCCTTGAGCGACGGCTCCGCGTAGGACACGACGCCCTGGGCTCCCGGGCGCCGCGCGCGACGCTTCGCGGGCCGCGCGTGGTCGTCGAGCTTCAGCGACGCGTCGTCGGGCGAGCGCGCGCCGCGCGTCGACGGCGAGCTCGTCGACGACGTCGACGCGGACGGCGGGCTCGGCGGCGCCGTCTGCGTCGACGCGTCGGCGACCGTCGGGCCGGTCGTCGCGGCGATCAACCTCCGTTTCAACGCCCTCACGGCCCCGCTCAACGCGACGGAGGCCGCGCGCCGCTGAACGAGCTCCGCCGTGAGCTGTCGATTGTTCTCCGCGAGGGCCACGAGGGACAGCTCGACCGCGGGCGGCGCCGGCGCCGGCCGCGGCGCGCGGCGCGGCCGGCGCGAGGTCATTTTGGACAGGGGCTTTTTCGAAGCTTCAACTATTTTGTTGAAGTAGCGTGAGAGCATGGGGCAGCATGCCTGCCCCCCTCCTGCGCGCGCGTGGAGATGCGCCGCCGCGGCGAGCCGCAGCCCATGCGGCGCGGCCCGGCCGTCGCGCTCACGGCTGCGACCGCGCGCCCATCGCTGCGCGGCCGTCGACGCCGTGGCAGGCCCTGCGGCGCCGGTTGGGGGCCCTCGATGGCCTCCGAGCGCCGCGCGAGCGCGGCGCGGCGCTCGACGGCAGCGGTCGAAGCCGTGCGCGTAGCGACACCTGGCATGCATCGCTTCCACGGAAGCCTCGCACGAGGCCCGCGCGCCGCGGCCAGCCCCGTCAAGGACCCGGCGCCTTTGGGCCGATACCGCGCCGCGACGGTGGGACCCGCGCCGGCGTGAGCGCGGCGCGGCGCGCTGCGACGCGATCCCTGCGCCACGGCGGACGGCTCCCCGAGCGGTCCGGCGGACCTACTGCCGCGCTCGCGGAAGGCGCGTCGCGGCGATTCCGATTCTTCGGTTGAAGTTACGACGCTGATGCCCACCGCGGCCCGAAAACGGCGACCCAGCGGCGGGCGCGGAGCGAGCAGTGATCCTTTAGGGGTATGGTCAGGCGCCCTCGCGTTCTTGGGGCGACCGAGGCGACGACCGCGACGCGCGCGGCCTGCTACGGCGTCGATCGGCGGAAGCGGGCCGAGCGCTCGCCGCGTTCGCCAGCGACGGCGCCGACGCGACGATGCGACGAAGGGCGCTCCTGCGGCCGACGCCTGCTCCGCCGCGCGCACGACCGCGTCGTTCCGGGCGCTGATCGCGAAGTTCAACTTCAACGGCCACTGAGGTCAACTTCAACGCAGAGAACCTTCCATCAGCCAAAGAACTAGCTCCTCTCAACACCCTCACAAAGCTCATCACTTCTACCTCACTACACCATGTCGACCGTCGCCCAGAACACCACGGAGCTCCCCCCCCTCGACGCCCCGCCCCAGGCCAAGGACGTCGACATCGTCATGGCCGAGGAGGGCGAGGATGAGGACGAGGCGCACTTCGTGGAGTCGTTCGCGTCCGTCAGCGAGCTGCGCGCGCACGGCATCCAGGCCGCGGACATCGTCAAGCTCACCAAGGCGGGCCTCACGACCGTCGGCCTCGTCGCCTCCGCCTCGACGCGCGAGCTCGCCGCCATCAAGGCGCGCGCCGCGTCCGAACTCGCGAACTCGTTCGACGCTCGAGCTCGCCCGACGCGCGCGCGTCGCAGGGCTTCAGCACGGACCGCGTCGCCTTCATCCGCGGCAAGGCGCTCGTCGCGGACCCGACGTCGGCCTCCTTCTCCTTCCGCTCGGGCCTCGAGCTCAAGGCGGAGCGCGAGGCGACGGCCAAGGTACGAGCCTTCGTCCCCGAAACGCGCGAGCCGCGCGCGCAAGTGAAAATGGCGCCCCCCCGCGTCGCAGATCACGACGGGCTCGGCGGCCTTCGACGCGCTCATCGGCGGCGGCATTGAGATCGGCACGATCACTGAAATCTTCGGCGACGCCGGCTCGGGCAAGACCCAGCTCGCGCTCACGCTCTGCGTCAAGGCCCAGCTCGCCCAGGAGGACGGCGGCGCCGCGGGCCGCGTGCTCTTCATCGACACGGCGCGAGCTCCGCGTCCTCGGAACCGGCCGGACCGTCGGCCGCGCGGCCGCGCCGCCCGCCCGTGTGTTCCGGAACCGGAACTCGACCGTCGGCCGCGCGCGCGCCTCCGCACGCGCCGCCTTCGACGCCGCCTCGCAGGACGACACCTTCCGCACGGAGCGCCTCGTCCAGATCGCCGAGGCCTCGGGCGTCGACGCGGACCAGTGCCTCCACAACATTACGAGCGCCCGCGCCGCGAACTTCGAGCAGCAGTGCGAGTGCCTCAAGCACGCCGCGCGCGAGCTCGCGGAGCCGAGCGAGGGCGAGTACCGCCTCGTCGTCGTCGACTGCGTCATGGCGAACCTCCGCGCGGAGTTCGCGGGCCGCGGCGAGCTCTCGGAGCGCCAGCAGACGCTCAACGCGCACCTCCGCGAGCTCAAGAAGTTCGCCCAGGCCTTCAAGGTCGCCGTCGTCGTCACGAACCAGGTCATGGCCGTGCCGGACCAGTTCTCGCTCGGCGGGCCCCAGGTCAAGTCCTGCGGCGGCCCCGTGATGGTCGAGAACCGCGCCCGAACGTCGTTCGTCGGCGCGCCTCGACCCCCGCGTCCCCCTCGCAGGCCCACAACACGAACACGAAGATCTTCCTCAAGAAGGCGGGCCGCGGCCAGCGCAAGGCCGTCCTCCAGCACTCGCCCTACATGCCCTACGGCGACTGCCTCTTCTCGATCGCGGGCGGCGGCGTCGTCGACGCGGTCGACGCCTGAGCGCCGATCGACACAAGCTCCCCGCGCGTCCGCGCCCTCGGACCCGCTCCCTGCACACTTCCCCCCTTCGCGCCCCGCGGCCTCGGCGAAAGCCGGAGCCGCCCGCGCGCCGCTGGCTAAGCAGCCGTCTCGCGAAGTCTCGGGGCTCAGGCGACGACGCGGAGTAAAGAATTAGACTATAGTCCTGCGTCGAGGCGCGCGAGGTTCCTTGTCGCTTTCTCGTAGCCCTTGGCAGCGGCGCGCGCGTACCAGTATCTGGCTTTGCCGAGGTCGACTTCCGTGCCTCTTCCGAGCCTGTAACAATAGCCAAGGCCGTGCTCTCCAGCGGCTAAACCTTGATCCGCCGCGAGCACAAAGTACCGGATCGCCTCTTCAAATTTCGCCTCAGCATGAAGGAAAGCCCCTAAATTGAATTGCGCGGTCGCGTCGCCCCGATCTGCGGCCATGCGATACAGCCGCTCCGCCTTCTTCTTGTCCAGCTTGACGCCACTTCCAGTCTCGTACATAAACCCAAGGTTTCTCATCGCCTCCACGTCGCCGAGCTCCACAGCGCGCCGGTAAATCTTCGCGGCTTTCTTATCGGATATCACGAGGCCGAATTCACCGCGGCGGTACGCAATTCCCAAAGCCGTAATCGCTTCCGGCACCTCGTTCTCCACATGGCGGCGCAGACGCGCGAGGCTTTCCGCGCGGCTTTCTGGGCCCGGCATGCGACAGAGGGGACACGCGTCGGAGCCGATCTTGACCTGGCACGAACGGCAGACCGTCCGGCAGCAGCAGGTGCGAAGCACGCCCGGAGTATTCACGTCCCACTCCTCGAAGCAAATCGGGCATCGCGACCCGTACCGCGCCGACACCGGCTCCCGCTCCGGGTTCGCCTCGCGCCGCACGCGTGCTGCCTCATGTTCCGCCACGATGCGCGCGCGGACCGCGTCGGCGTGCGACCGCGGCGCGGGGCCGTAGAACACGTCCCGCGGCGGCGACGGCGGGGGCGTCGGCGCCTCGGCCCGCGCCCGTTTGTCCTCTTGGATCTTCTTGCAGACCTTCCGGTGGCCCCGGTCGCGCCAGTCGATGCGTTGACAGTCCGTCGAACAGTAGGCCGTCGTGCCGCACCCTTTACAGGGCCGGGCATCCTTCTTCCCGCAAATCGTGCATATGTTGAGCGCCAGCTTTGTACGAGTTTTTCGCGCCTCGTACTCTCGCTTCTTCTTGATCAGTTCCGGGTCCATGATCTCTTCCCACGCTCGTCGCCGACGCTCCCTATTTCACCCCGACAGTGGCAAATCCTCCCTCCCTTCGATTCCTCCCTGCGAGCGGCTAAGCAAAATCGCTCAAATTCTTACCCCAGAGGCCTCCCCAGGCTAAGCCGACCCCTAGAGCATCGCGCTCACGTCGTTCGCCATGCCCCCCTCGGCGGCGGCGTCGTCCTTGCGCCAGGCGGGCTTCGCGCTCGAGAACGCCAGAGTCCAGACCGCGAAGGTCGGCGCGGAGAGGAACGCGGCGACGACGGCCAAGGCCAAGCACGACTCGCCCGCGCGCAAGCGCAGCATCTCGGGCTCGGGCGACGACGCGGCGTAAAGATTGTTAGGCGTCGAGACTCGCGAGGCTCCTTGTAGCTGCCTCGTGGCCCTTGGCAGCAGCGCGCTCGAGCCAGTATCTGGCTTTGCCGAGGTCGACTTCCGTGCCTCTTCCGAGCCTGTAACAATAGCCAAGGCCATGCTCTCCCTCGGTATGGCCTTGATTCGCCGCGAGCACATAGTACCGGAACGCTTCTTCAAATTTCTCCTCGAAATGAAGGAAAGTCCCTAAATTGTATTGCGCGAACGCGGAGCCCCGATCTGCGGCCATGCGATACAGCCGCTCCTTCTTCTTCTTGTCCAGCTTGACGCCGAGTCCATTCCCGTACATTTCCCCCAGAAATGGCATCGCGTCCACGTCGCCGAGCTCCACAGCGCGCCGGTAAATCTTCGCGGCTTTCTTATCGGATTTCACGAGGCCAAACCGACCTTCGCGGTATGCAATTCCCAAAAACGTAATCGCTTCCGGCACCTCGTTCTCCACATGGCGGCGAAGACGCGCGAGGTGCTCCGCATTGGATTTTGCGCATGGTACACGACAGAGGGGACACGCGTCGGTGCCGATCTTGCGACTGCACGATTGGCAGACCCTCCGGCAGCAACAGACGCGAAACACGTTCTTCGTATTCACGTCCCACTCCTCGAGGCAGATCGGGCACCGCGACCCGAGCCGTGCCGACAGCGGCTCCCGCTCCGGGTTCGCCTCGCGCCGCGCCCGTGCCGCCTCGTGCTCCGCCGCGATGCGCGCGCGGACCGCGTCGGCGTGCGACCGCGGCGCGGGGCCGTAGAACACGTCCCGCGGGGGCGACGGCGGGGGCGTGGGTGCTTCCGCCCGCGCCGCCGCCGCGGCTTGGATCTTCTTGCATACCTTCCGGTGGCCCCGGTCGCGCCAGTCGATGCGTTGACAGTCCGTCGAACAGTAGGCCGTCGTGCCGCATCCTTTGCACGCCTTGGCTTTGTCGGCGCCGCAGATCGTGCAGGTCTTGAGAGTGTCGAGCTTTTTGCCCCTCGCTCGGGCCATGCGATTCTCATACTCCAACTTCTTCTCCTGCCACGACATGACTTGGCGCGCGTCCTATCGCCGCACAGCACTCGACTCGACTCTCGCGCGCTCGCAAAGGCAAAATCGTCCCCCTTCGGTCCTTCCCTGCGCCGCGGCTAAGCAAAATCGTGCCCTCTTCGTCGCCGTGCTCGCGTACGCCTCCGCCCTAGTCGTGTCCTCCCGTGACGCTTCCCTACGCCCCCCTTCGCTGTTCTCTCCCCCTTCGGTCCTTCCCTGCGCCGCGGCTAAGCAAAATCGTGCCCTCTTCGTCGCCGTGCTCGCGTACGCCTCCGCCCTAGTCGTGTCCTCCCGTGACGCTTCCCTACGCCCCCCTTCGCTGTTCTCTCCCCCTTCGGTCCTTCCCTGCGCCGCGGCTAAGCAAAATCGCTCAAAAACCTCGTGAGGCTTACCTAGCCTCTAGCTCTAAGTACTAGTACGCCTCCCCAAACGAACATTAGTCCCCCCCCGGCGTGCTGAAGCCCGAGCTCAGGCCGCCGCCGCGGATGGGCGTGAAGGGGCTCGACGACGACGCGCCGCCCGGGAGCGGGGACGCCGTCGCGCGGCTGAGGATGCGCTCGAGGTCCGCGCGTGACGCCGAGAACGCAGACGCGACGATGGCGCCCGGCAGCCCCGCGCCGAGGACGTCCGGCGCGTCGGCGTGCGTGAGGAGGGCGCTCGTGAACTTGCGGCGGTCGTTGGCCGTGTGGAGCAGCGGGCACTGGCGCGCGAAGAGCCGCGCCGCGTGCTTGAGCCCGAGCGGGCCGAGCGGGATGACGTGCTCCTCGGGCCGGTCCAGACCCGTGCGCTTCGACACCAACGCGCACAGGTTCGTGTGGTCGTCGAGGCACTTGGCCAGGAAGAGCTTGACGTCGCTCGGGTCCGCCTTCTCCGCGCCGTCGAGCACGAGCAGGTAGGACTCGTCGTCGCTGAGGCGCTCGGGCCCCGCGGCGTCGCGCAGCAGCGCCTCGAGGTCCTGGAGCGACGCCGGCAGCGTCGGGCGCACCACGAGCACGCGCGAAAAGAGGTCCCGCGCGTCCGCGTACTCGGCGCAGAACGCGGCGAGCGCGCTCTTGCCGACGCCGTGCGGTCCCACGACGACCGTGAGCCGCCGCTTCCGCGCGAGCGCGTCCAGGACCTTGAAGGCGTCGACCTCGCGCCCCAAGAAGTCGTCGGGCGGCCGCGGCGCCGTCGCCGGGAGCGTCCGCCGCGGCGGCCAGGGCGCCGGCGGCGCCGCGTCGCCGCGCCGCGCGATGCGCCAGCCGCGGCCGCGGCCGAGCGGGAAGACGGCCTCGTCGTGGTCCCCGCCCAGCGGCAGCAGCTCGAACTTGTCGCCCTTGCCCGCGTCCGACGCCGCCCCCGCGACGCGCGGCGACGCGGCGACGGCCTCGACGCCCACGGAGAACGCCGCGGCGACCGTGTCGCCGACGGCGAGCGCGAGGTAGAACGCGCGCGTGAAGGCCACGGCCGCCGCGTCCAGGAGCGGCGCGTCCAAACTCACGGCGACGACGTGGGCGCAGCCCGCCTCGACCAGCGCGTCCGCCGCGCGGCGGCTGTGGCACGCGGAGACGACCGCGAGCTTTGGGGGCCTTCGCGCCACCAGCGACCGGAGCTGCGACGGCGGCACGGGCTGGAGGCCGCCGCGGCCGTCCTCGAAGGTCAGACACTGCGGGTGGCCGTGGCCGCTGTAGTGGAGCGCCGCGCAGCCCCGCGTGATCGCCGACTGGAGCGCGTCCGTCGTCGCGGCCTCGAACGACAGGTCGACGCGGTCCTTCGCGTCGCGGCACGACCGCCGGTCCTCGAGCGCCGTCGAGATGGCGTTGCGCTCCGCGTCGGCGTCCAGCGCCTCGATGCCGTGGAGGTCGCCGGACGCGTCCTGCCAAGCCAAAGGCGCCGCGAAGAGGCACGCGAAGACCGGCGGCGGCCTGTGTGGAAATCAAATCTTGAACCCGACTTCAATGTGCGCGTATTTGAAAAGTCCGACGCAAGCTCTTCGGCTCTGCTTCGAGAACTCGACGAGAGCAATCGATTCGTCCAAAAAT